TAAATTACAACGCAAGAAAAAGCGTTATATATTATCAAAACGAAATTTAAAGAAATATTAGATTTTGGTCTGCACGATATGCTTAATTAATTTATAATAGATTCTTAAATATCATAAGAGATTTATATAAAGAATATATATATTTCGTGTTATCTACTTTGGATACAGGGTTGTTGACATAATAGTAAACTTAAAATAGATTAATTAACAGTACATACATCCCCCCTTTTTTCCAAACATAATTTTTTTACTATTGAAAATGTTCATCGAAAGGTCGGTTGCCAAGCCTACCCCCCCCCCTCCACGTGGTGCAGAATAGTCAAAGAAGTTTAAGTAGTAGTGTATTAAAAGAAATTAGGTACTAAATGAAGTTCGATCCCCCCACCCCCGCCCCCTTTCACGCCCCGAAATAGGATTTTCGGGTTTGGACAAATTTTTTCTGTCAGTTTTTATTTTCAGGTTTGCAATAATATTTTTGTCTGCCCCCCCCCCCCCCACTTTCAAAATCGATGCTTCGTCTCTGTAATAATTAGTACTACGGGTTTCAAGGTGGATAGTGTTTGTGACACGGTATTAGAAAGTGGCCAGTGATCGACCAAGTTTATGAAACCAATAGACAGCCCCTTAAATGCGGATGGCTGAAACATGCATGCTTAATAAAGATAATGACCCATGGGGAATAATAAATTTTGAAAAAAAATCATTGTTAATCCCCCTATCCCTACCCTAACCTCAAAAAATAGGGGTTATCATGGTAATTGGAATTTATTTTTGAATGGACATAAGCATAAAGTTACTGTTTTCTAAAGTATATTATATCGGAAACATATAGAATATTACGGGAATGGCCAAGTGGGAGGGGGGGGGGGGGGGGCAAATGTGTGGTTATCAACATTCATCGTCAATCTTGCGATGCATAGATACAATAAATATACATGTATATTCGATAATTATTTAAAAGGAAATCGTTCGGGTCTCGCCCGACTTGGTCAAAGACTGAAATATACTAGTAAAACCATAATGCTCATTTCATTCGGGGGGGGGGGGGGGGGGCACAACCATACATTTTCAGTTTTCAACAACAAAAATTTCTTGAAAACCAAAAACAGAGCCAAAAAAGTCATCAGATGTTTTATTGAGGGGGCACAAAATTGAGGGGGTACAAGCATATAGTAGTTATGATTTCTTTAGTATTTTATAATCGGCAAAATCATTGGGGGGGCACAATGTAAATAAATGTACCCTCATTAGTATTTCATATAAAAAATAATTTTCTCCCTCATCAATGTTCTTATTTAAAAAAATGTCGACTTAAGAATACCGCAATTCAACGATAAGACCATATAATATTCTATATACCTATCTATTGTTTTGTTTAATGAGGAAAAATAAGAATTTATATATATTTTCTAAAATGAAACCTAAAATTTCTTTTTATTTCGTTTTAATACATATATCTTTTTTTCTTGCATTATCATTTAAGCAAATGTCCCATTTGATATGAATATATTCAACGATTTCTTGATAGTAAAACATAATAAAGGGGAGTAATCAAAATTGAACCTGCCTTTTGATTGGTTAATTTGGATCTTGAATCTCGAAACTCGAATTTCGAATCTCGAATTTCGAATCTCGTATTTCGAATCTCGAATCTCGAATGAGCCTTCTGGGCTTTCGTAAAAAAAACTTACATTTTTCATTTGAGAAATGATTTGATTTTCATATAAGCTTTCAGCCAAATATTGCCCACATGTTTTAAGCATTGATAAAAGTAAGGAATTCTACTCTGAAAAATAAAAAGACTGAGCAATACTGTAAAATCACACAACTCTTGGTTCGTGGGGATTTGAATTCGCGGATGAAAATTTTTTGAGTAGTTGTGTATGAAACATTTTCCATTTCATGTTGGGTTTCTTCATACGTAAAAAAAAAAACGAAAATTAAACCCAACGAAAATTTGTGATTTCACAGTATTCTCTGATGTGAGATTTCCCCTAGGGGTAATATTATTCTTATGTAGGGCACAGGTTCCGAAAGGGGATTTTGGGAAAATCCTACTTGAAAACATCAATATAGCTTTTTTTATCTTTCTCTTTTCTCTAATTTCCATCTAATTAAAATTCCATAATTTTTAGGGGAGAAGGAAGTGAAGAACTGTAAAATTAATTCGAGGTTTTTGTTTTACCTCTCTTAAGTGCACTATATATTTTTTCATTATCATAAATCAATGTAAACCAATGCATATAAATCACCATGCAACTTGATCTATGACGGGAACATTTATTTTGATAACATTGAACAAAACGTAATAGTTTTCCGATCTAGTATCGATAAACTAAACCATATTATGCTCAATATCATATCTGATGTTGAGTATATCAGATTTCTTAAAACCAAGAAATCTGTCCAATGCAATTGTTAATGGTTTGTTCGTTTCTGACCAATCAATTTTAGTGATGGTATCTTTTTGTTTTAACATACATAAACTAAAACCTTTGCACGCGATTTTTCCCCCAATTTAATATTAGGATTTCCAGTTACTTACTGCATATTCATAAATTATACAGTCAACCTCTTCTTAAAAATATATACGCTTTCAGATTACATTCACTTTGTATTTTGGTAAGAGTATTTTCGGTAAGTATACATGTGTATATGTTCATTAGATTCATTTATTACTGCTTTCAATTGTTATAAAGTTAAAAACCCATTGAGCTCGTTTTTGTAGGGTTAAAAGAAATTCACATCATAACGCGTTTCTTTTGCGAATGAACGCAAAACGCGCACTACAAAAAGCAAAAAAATATATATAGCAATGAATATTTTTTTAATGAAGTTATTTTCTTATATTTACATTTGCAAATGTTTTCCTTTACATAACACTACTGAAGGCAAGCGTTTTTATAACTGTGTAAATACAGGTTTGGGGTCAAGAGGTCATAGATGTGCTTTTGGATAAACGTTCCACGTAATTTCTCTGTGACGTCATAAAGGACCAACGCGCGTTTAGTGGATTACATACATGCCGTTGGGTTTGAAAAATTAACGCATTTCACACGTTAAAAGTAACAATCAGGCAAATATAAAATATGAATAAGTCACAAATGTAAATATAAGTAATAAGGTATCATTTTTTGAGTTTTATTGAGATGTAAAACGGGTTGACACATGATCAAATCTTCCATAAAGCCCTTCGGGCTTTATGGGATTTGATCACGTGACCAACCCGTTTTACATCTCAATAAAACTCAAAAAATGATACCTTATTTCTTAAATAACCGTAGGCGCTTATGGTTGGCCGTTCTACTCACAATTATTTATTTTTACTCCACTAAAATTATTTTTACTGCAGTAAAAATAAAACACTGGCCAATGCTACTCACAATTAAATATTTTTACTCCAGTAAAATTATTTTTACTCCAGTAAAAATAATTTACTTCTCATATGGAGTAAAAATACAATGTGGCCATTTAACTCACAATTAATTAATTTTACTACAGTAAAAATATTTTTACTGCAGTTAAAATATGACACTGGCCATTTCTACTCACAATTAAATATTTTTACTCAAGTGAAAATCAACCAATCACAGTCCATGTTAGATATTTGGTGACTCATAGCACAACGGGGAAAATTCCCCAGACTGTTTACACATGACATGATATACATAGACTTTCAATGTGCTTCCTACGCCTAAGACAGGGAATATAACTGCAGATGGACTATACTGTACGGATTTGCCGATATACAGTATACAATATAATCTTTAAAAAAACATATTAAGAGTATAGAAAACATGTAGTGATACTATAGGAGAGATCAATTAATTAAACTTCTTATGCCTTTTTCCGCTTGTCAAGGAATTTCTGGTAGTTAATTGATAGTGTCCCCAACTTAAAATATTTGGCTGTGCCAACAGTAGCAGCACTATGTATATAATTTAAGAAGTTTTTCTCGTGAAATTATAGACTGAATGATATGAAAAAGTTTCTATGATAAACATATAGAAGACAGTTCCGCATCTTTTGATATCATAACTTTGGTTTTTAAATCAACTCAATATCCAAACTGCCAAGTAAATCAATTCATATTAGGTACTTTCTATTTAAGTTTTCAAAAATTGTTAGCTAGTACAAATTAGAAATCAGATTAGGGCTAGATTACCGCCAATATTTATTAGAAATGCTAATTTGTAACATACTTGGTTATTGGTTGATTTTTACTTAAGTAAAAATATTTAATTGTGAGTAGAGAAGGCCAGTGTTATATTTCTACTGCAGTAAAAATAATAAATGTGTGAGTTAGATGGCCAGTGTTTTATTTTTACTGCAGTAAAATTAATTAAATGTGAGTAATGTGGCCAAAAAGTAATCTTACTTCAGTAAGAAATTAAATGATTTTTACTGGAGTAAAAATGATTTTTACTGGAGTAAAAATAATTTTACTGGAGTAAAAATATTTTTACTGGAGTAAAAATATTTAATTGTGAGTAGCATTGGCCAGTGTTTTATTTTTACTGCAGTAAAAATAATTTTAGTGGAGTAAAAATAAATAATTGTGAGTAGAACGGCCAACCATATTCGTCAGTAATTTTTTTCTTAACTGAAAACAGAAAGCAAGGCTAACAGATCTGCCATAGGATTTCACTTTTCATGTAATTACATTTTTCGATGAAAATCGAAGTGTGTGCTACATTTTCAAAGGGAGAAAGAATTTCGTCAGACATGAAGAATTTCATATCAGCATCCTTGTGAGACATTTGTGAATTATTCAACAAACTTAATTACTGGTTTTGGTGCAGTGTCATTTCAGGATAAGCGTTCTTTTCGGCTTAATGTTTTCATCATTAAAACCAATATTTTTAAAGAATCTCAAAATATCAATTGTGTAATTTAAAAGTTAAAATTTACATTGTCTTATTCTTGAAAAATTATTGCTATATACAATTTTTATACATAATTAACTTTTCATAAATAAAGTTTCTGGTGATATTTCCTACCTCTAGAATTGTAATGCGGAAGTCCAAATCTCCTTCCTGGAGATCAAATAAGGACAATAACAGTGGATAAAGAAGTACTTCTTGGAGATCTAATGAAATATTTCCATTCTCAAAATCCGACAAAAATAAATCCATTTCCGCGATTGAAAGGAAATTCACAGCAAGTGAGATGCATCCGGGGCTACAAATAATTGAACAGGAATATTTTCGTTCCCATTCACAGAGAAACTTCAAATAAATTGCAAAAATCTTATGTTCGTTTTTCTTTTCCTTCGCACACATCAATATTTTTCCAGTCAGGTTATTGAGAAGATCTTGAAATTCGGGTGTCTCTGTCAATTGATTCAAAACGTCGTCGTGCTTTTTAAATCTACGAAGAACTTTCTTTATCTTTGATTTTTTCGATTTCTCTCTGATAGAATTCGATGTCTCATTTAAAATTAGAACAATATGATGTTGTAGTATGCTAAGATTTTGTCTTTTCCTTTCGGCCTGACTTGATGCTTCTTAATAAAAAGATAAACAAATGAATAAATTATAGTTAATGAATCAATTAATAGCAACTTGACCATTATTAAATTTACAATGAATTAAGTCTTCTTCACGTGTGAATGCTCGTGTAATGGTCCATTGAACATGGATTCCAGAAATCTAATCTATCGATTAACAAATATATGGCATATAATTAAAATTTTTACATCAATATTTAGAAAACAAAACTGTCTATCAAGAGGTGAAATTACAACTTACCTGATCGTAATTTCCAACTTTCTGTCACTTTAAGTTTCAAAAGGCATACTTCATTTTCCAGTCTTTCTAGTTTTTCTGTGACCTCTGTTTTCATTGCAGGAGTAATTGAATTATTTTGGCATCGTTTGATTTCCTCCTCATAGTTAACGTTCCTACCTACATATTCTCCTAAACGTCTGCCAATATCGACAGCAGTTGCCCAGTTTTCTTCCGACTCCATTGCTGACATAAATACTTTTGAAGCATGCACCAAATCATTTCTAAAATGTCGAATTCGTTCGACGTCGTCTCCTATGGTTGTATCACTGTCTTTTGGTTTTTGTTCCCAACCCTTTTTTGGTTTGATTTTGGGACATGTGTTTCTTAGGCAAACGTACAGCAAAGAAATGTCAAAGTCTTCATAAGGCTTTTGTGAATCTTTAGCTTTTATTATCTTATCCAAAGCATTCAATTTCTTAAAACGTTTCTTTAAAGGCTTAGAATTCATCACAGCATCAGCTAATCTGTCTGGACGGATTTCTTTCCATAAAACATCTTGGAGCATACATGTCATAACCTCAAATACTACCCAAAACCATTTTAATTGGCGATTTGTCCCGTCCGCATCATTCCCTGTGTCCATCTTAAACTTGTGATTTGAAATATAAACAATACGTGCGATTCATTATTTCTTTAATTGCCCTATATTGCAATTTTACAATTCCTGAAGAAAAGAGAGAACCTGCTGCTTAGAAACACAAAAGTTATTTAATTAAAAAAATCAAATTGTTTGTTTGTTTGTATCTATGTTATTACGTCCCTCTCGTGAATTTTTCACTCATATGGAGACGCCACTACTTGTTAACAGTGAGCTTTCAGCTCAGGTGAGCTAACAATTGTTAATTAAAGGGTGTTTCTTTTCGGAAGGTAAATTACACGAACACGTGTGATAGTGACATTTAATAATCAATATTTACATTTCCAATGTCTTTGTCCGAGATAAAATTACCAATTGTAAATGTAATTGATTTCCTCATGAATGTTTTGGCGCGGTTCCAAAAAAAACCACGTGCAGGGCGGGACAACACCTAGAGAGAAGCAGGCTTGGAGCCCGTGGATTGGCGGAATCAAAGCATGTAAATATAAGGAATAACTGTCTTATTTTTCGAATTCATGAAGATGATCAATGGATTGGCTTGTGTGATAATTTTATGCATAAACGCCTTCGGCGTTTATGCAAATTATCACACAAGCCAATCCATTGATCACTTCATGAATTCGAAAAATAAGACAGTTATTCCTTAAATCATGACTGACCTTTGCTCTTAAATATACCCTTCTTATCAATTAATTTTAACTTTACACGTAGGTGAGGCCATAAAAATATTCTATGGTTTACATTCTAGTAAATAACACTGTACATCTAAATATATGATACAAATAAGCAAATATACCTTGAAAATTTCATCTAGTCAGAAACCGAACTAGAATCCCTTAGCTTACACGAAGAATAATAAAAGAATCACATTTGCATTAAGGCAGACAGTTAAAAAATCTATATATGAGCAATGAATCATTGTTTTTAAATACAAATTTTCATACCACGCTAACGCGTATTGGACATACGCAATTCATATAATTGCAAATGACGAATGATAAATATACATAGGTATACCCCTCTTTACTATAAAATCAACCTTGTATATAGGGATATTTTTATATATAATAGTACTTGTCATTCGTCATTTACAGAATTACATGGGAAGCGCCTATGGTTGGCCGTTCTACTCACAATTATTTATTTTTACTCCACTAAAATTATTTTTACTGCAGTAAAAATAAAACACTGGCCAATGCTACTCACAATTAAATATTTTTACTCCAGTAAAAATATTTTTACTCCAGTAAAATTATTTTTACTCCAGTAAAAATCATTTTTACTCCAGTAAAAATCATTTAATTTCTTACTGAAGTAAGATTACTTTTTGGCCACATTACTCACATTTAATTAATTTTACTGCAGTAAAAATAAAACACTGGCCATCTAACTCACACATTTATTATTTTTACTGCAGTAGAAATATAACACTGGCCTTCTCTACTCACAATTAAATATTTTTACTTAAGTAAAAATCAACCAATAACCAAGTATGTTACAAATTAGCATTTCTAATAAATATTGGCGGTAATCTAGCCCTAATCTGATTTCTAATTTGTACTAGCTAACAATTTTTGAAAACTTAAATAGAAAGTACCTAATATGAATTGATTTACTTGGCAGTTTGGATATTGAGTTGATTAAAAAACCAAAGTTATGATATCAAAAGATGCGGAACTGTCTTCTATATGTTTATCATAGAAACTTTTTCATATCATTCAGTCTATAATTTCACGAGAAAAACTTCTTAAATTATATACATAGTGCTGCTACTGTTGGCACAGCCAAATATTTTAAGTTGGGGACACTATCAATTAACTACCAGAAATTCCTTGACAAGCGGAAAAAGGCATAAGAAGTTTAATTAATTGATCTCTCCTATAGTATCACTACATGTTTTCTATACTCTTAATATGTTTTTTTAAAGATTATATTGTATACTGTATATCGGCAAATCCGTACAGTATAGTCCATCTGCAGTTATATTCCCTGTCTTAGGCGTAGGAAGCACATTGAAAGTCTATGTATATCATGTCATGTGTAAACAGTCTGGGGAATTTTCCCCGTTGTGCTATGAGTCACCAAATATCTAACATGGACTGTGATTGGTTGATTTTCACTTGAGTAAAAATATTTAATTGTGAGTAGAAATGGCCAGTGTCATATTTTTACTGCAGTAAAAATATTTTTACTGTAGTAAAATTAATTAATTGTGAGTTAAATGGCCACATTGTATTTTTACTCCATATGAGAAGTAAATTATTTTTACTGGAGTAAAAATAATTTTACTGGAGTAAAAATATTTAATTGTGAGTAGCATTGGCCAGTGTTTTATTTTTACTGCAGTAAAAATAATTTTAGTGGAGTAAAAATAAATAATTGTGAGTAGAACGGCCAACCATAGACGAACTTAAGACTTTCTATACTGTAGATCACTATATTGTCGCGACACCATATTTTCGCGAGATAGATATTCAGTATTTATAAGCGAGACTAAATTTTCTATTTTTTCGATGTGGTTTCTATGGTATATAATCTTTAACAATATAAATAAACGCGAGAATAAATATTTTACAAGCGGACAGTCTCGCGTAATTATGCAAATAAAGTTCTCGCGAATAAAAAGTGTTTTTCAGTATGCTCTACCTAAGATCAATTTCTAAAACGAGACAATCTATTGACAAATAAGTTGCTGAAACAAGGATATCAACATCTTATTTATGTTAACATTTCGCAAATTCTTTGGTCGATAAAATTTCCTTTTCTGCAAATACAATTTATCATTATGTTTGAATTGAATTTGAATGCAAAATCATTTATTTTTGGTGAAAAAGACGAAAATGAAATTTCAGAATATTTCAACACTATGCTGATATTAATAAAGCATTATATTTATAAAGTTCGTTGTAAGAATATCTGTTCATATATCCAAGTTTTTTGAATTTATTTAATTCCTATTCTAAAGCTTTGAAATATACTGTAAAAGATAATTTAAAAAACTGACAGATTTTAGTACTTTCTGACAGAAATGGGTTGTTATATTTTAATTATTTTACTTCATTATTATTATTTTCATAAAAATTTTTTTGGCAATCACTTTAAAGTGTTATTAGTAAATCCCTAAAAACTGCACTGTTCTATATTCTTTCTTCCTCTCCCTTCTTTCTGTCTTATGGCGAGCTTAAACAACACTGAATATGTTTTAGGACACAATATGTAAATATAGAGCTTACTCTTTCCCTCTCTCTCTTTCATAATAAACTTTTACACTGATTTTGAATATGTTTCAACTATATATAATTAGTTTATTCTGATTTATTTTGTTCATACATTCATGCAGAAGTTTGTACATATACTTGTAATATGTGTGAAAGTTTCAATTAAAAAAATTAAGCCGAATGTTGACAGGTTATGTTTGCTCCTCCGTTGCACTTGTTCCTACCTTTGATGTTTTTAGAGGACCCTGATTGTTGTGCTTACAATTTGTGGATTTTTGAGCTTGATCAGTGTTCGTTATCTTCATATTTTAAAAAAAAACCTTAAGATGAGAAATACTGTTTCATTCAAGAAAATACTAAGATCTTTTAGATAAATTTTAACTTAATTTCAGGAGGATCAAGATGAAAAGTCGGAGGAAAACTTATTCAATGAAAGAAGGAATTTCCAGGAAAATAAGAACTGGAATTCTTTGGATAAATTTTTACACATTGATTGCAAAGCATTTCTTCGAGCATTGTTGAAACACATCCAGGAAGAGGATCTAGGAATTGCGACCTCAAAGGAATCACAAAGAACTTTTAAATCACGCAAAGATACAGCAAGAGAAAAAAAGGAGGTTGAAAATTTGGCGTTAGAGGAATGTTTTAGCATATTTCGAAGCGGAGTCTACAAAGATTTTATATCAGAACCAAAACTCGGATGGGAGTCTAGAGAATTCCCCCGCGGTAATCAAACGAACGTAGCAGACGATATTTTACGGCTGTTCTTTTACTGGGAAGAAATACGTTCTAAGAAGGACATGAAAATATCAAAATCAAAGATGGCAGATGTTGTCTTTGTACTACAAGAAATAGCTGAAAGAATGGCAAGAATTTATGGAGATTTGGGTGTTGATCTCCAAAATAAAGTGGCTGCTCTTACAGGTAAACTTCGCCTCCTCAGTGTTTTAGGAATATTGGCGTCTAGAATGTAATGTTTTAAATGTGGGCTTCTTCTATATCTCTAGAGAAAACTTAGTAAAATCAGTTAAATTCAAAAATTTGTTTGTTGAAATTTGAAGACCACGCCTCCATCTCTGAAGAATTGAAGAAAACTGACGAAACCAGCGTAAAGGACTTCGGTGAAAAGTAATATTATGGCACTCTTAAATGACATTTCCTACGTTTAAAAATAAACCTATTACAAGTTTGGATTTATGTATTTTTATTAACAGTATAAAATTCTGATTTATTTTCCCTTATCTTTTCAGAGAAGATATGAGGAAATACAAAGAGTTTTTCGAGAATCAGGACCTAGAAGATACTAACGATCTAATTTCTTTCAAAGAGGTACAGTATGTTGGCGTGCGTTTTCTTTCATTGTCAAAGAAATTTCTCTGTTCAGTTTCTTAAATAGTCTATCAAGTGATAAGTGATGATAGCGAGAAGAGAGTTGTGTATTATTTTCTTCTTGCATCATTTTTTTTTTTTGCAGACTCTTCAAGACCTTCGCCACAAAACGTTTCGAGCATGCAATGCAGAACTTCTTCAAAACTATATGATGCCTATGAAACAAGCTCTTGAGCACGTGAAACGGTAAATTTAGCTACTTTAGGCAGTTTAACGCGCGCGTGCATAGATAGGCCCATGGCCTGTAAAATTTCTTAACGTATGTTGTATCGATAATTGATTACTCGGAGTTCCTTGGATGGCTAGTACATTGCATATAACCTCGGACGTAACTTAAGGTTTTCTACCATCTTACTGATTTAGTCGTGTGATACTTTT